CTTTCTTTCTTTCTTTCTTTCTTTCTTTCTTTCTTTCTTTCTTTCTTGTGCTGTACTTTAAAGTCATGATGCTTCCGTGTCTCATTTGTTTTCTGTTTTTGCATAATCTCCTAGATCATGATTAGAAATATGTATATTCTGAAGACACTGCAGTATTTTCATTAAATGATTATATTTTTTTATAAATTTTGGGATTTTTATTGGAACAAACTCACGGTTAGTCTGTTGGTAGTTTTCTGGTTCTGGAGAATCCATGTTTGTAGTGTGATGAGCTGTGGAAGATTCCCTCTAGTGTGCTCCATGAATAAACAGTTCTTAAGACTAAGATGAGCAGAAAGCTAAGTTATCCGGTACCCTGTATAAAGTTCTCTGGAAATGATCAACATGTGCATTATAAAAAATGCCTAATCATGAGAACGCTTGGAAGGTGTTGCAGGCAGGATTATTAAAGACGTGGTAAAATACCCTGACCCAAAACAACTTGGGGAGAAGAGGGTTTATTTGGCTTATGTTTACACGTCACGTTACTATTCATCATTGAAGGAAGTCAGGGCTGGAATCAGGATGTAGGAGCAGATGCCTGGAGGATGCTGTTGCCTGGCTTGTCTTGCCACCGCTTAGGGGTGTGCCCCTCCCAACATACACACAAAATGGGCTGGGGCCTCCAACATCAACCCCTAATTAAGAAAATGCCCAACAGGGTGCCTACAGCCAGGTCATATGAGGCCTTTGCTCAAGTGAATTTCCCTCTTCACAGTTGACTGAAGCGTTTGACAAGTTCACATAAAACTTAGCACAACACAACTGACTCCTTGTCAACTCGCCACACAAGCACATCGCTGTTAAGCCAGAACCTTTCCTTTTCTCTCCCATGATCATGCATTAATATCAACATCACAACATAAGGTGTTCTGTAAACTTCCTAAGTTTCACGGTCTTTACAAACTCAAACATTTTAAAATTATTCTCTTTAAAAATCCAAAGTCTCAGTAGAACCTCAACTCTCTTTAAAAAGTTCAAAGTCTCTCAACTGTGGTCTCCTGTAAAATGAGAATCAGTTAAATAATTTTTATTCCAAGAGGTAAGAACAAGGGCACAGTCACAATATGAATAAAGCAAAACCAAAGTCCAGAAGTGTGTGTCTTAGTGGCAGACTTGTGGAATTCACTCACAGTATTTTGGACTCCTCCTAAGGGCCTACGTTACTTCTCTGGTTCTATCCTCTACAGCCCACACAGCTTGTCTCAGAGATTGATGCTAGCTTTACATTATGGCCGTGGCTGCCCTTGGTGTTCATCCCATGATTCCAACATCTCTAAAATGTTGGAGTCTTCTGCTGCAAACCGGCTGCACTTTTACCAATACTCTATCCTGGGATCTCTTCAGGGTGCCAAGCCTCAACTCTCTGCATGACCCTTTTGATGCTGAGGCTTTAATTGCTAGTGAGGCTCTGCCTTCTCTAGTGAATTCTCTGGCTTCTCAGAGTGTCAAGCCTCAGCGGCTGTCATGACTCTTTTATGACTTCAAATCCAGTACCACTTGGGAGACTTACACATGACCAAGTTTGGCTGCCAGCAAGAGGTACAACTTTGGTCATCCTAGAACACAGCTCTGTGTGTTGACCCTGAGTTCACCTCAGTGTTGCTGGTCTCTTAGTCACCACTAATTTCTCAGCTCCAGCTAACCAACATCAGTTCTCATAGTAAAGCAAGAGGCTCACTTTAGTGGTGCTGGCCTCTTGTTAATCACAGCTGACTCTCCAGCCTCAGCTGACAAGAACCACAGATATCAATTCAAAATGACAAATGGCCCCAACAGACTCTTTAAGGGACTCTCAAACTTCCTGCTGACGCTTCACAAGCCATCTGCATTTCTCTCAACACTATCCATCCAAATTCAGGCACGGCAGCTCACCAAGCTTTGAACATGCAGTGGATTTTGTAGTCTAAAGTTCCAAAATCCTCCCCAAAACAGTATGATCATGTCTTTCACAACAATCATCCCACTATCTTGGTACCAGTGTGTCTTAGGGTTACTGTTGCTACTGTTGCTGTGATCAAACACTATCACCCAAAGCAACTTAGGGAAGAAAGGGGTTATTTGGCTTACATTTACACGTCACTGTTCATCTCGGAAGGACAGGAACGTGGAAGCAGGAGCTGATGCTGAGATCATTCAGGAGCACTGCTTACTGGCTGCTCCTCTGGCTTGCTCATCCTGCTTTCTTATAGAATACAGACAGGATCACCAGCCCAGAGATGTTCCCCTCCCCTGACTGGGCTAGGCCCTCCCCCATCAATCACTAATTAAGAGAATGCCCAGCAGGTTTGTCCACAGCCATTTTTCAGGTGAGGTTCTCTCTTTTCAGTGATCATAGCTTTTGTCAACTTCATGTAAAATTAGCCAGCACAGAAAGCCAGACTTGTTACTAATATAGTCTGAAAATTCAGTTTGTACATATCCATTTTTCCAATGATGTGTAACACAGTCTATTTCACTCTGCTTGGGAGGTCTGGAAGATCTTGACTTTGATTCCATTTTTGTACTCCCTTTGAATGGTCTAAACTACAGTAAATTTTGGTCTAAGCTTAGAGTCAAAACTGATAATTATAATTATTATTTCAGTATCTTCTTAGAAGAACTTGTTTTCAGTCAAGGGTCTTAACTTTCTCAGATTCCATTTTAAAAGTGTTTGTTGATAATATTTTATATTTATAAAAATAGGAATCATGAAGTATTTCTTGAATTACTAAATAATTTTTACCTCCAATTTAGTATAAAATAAAAGGAGGCCGTAGTCTACAAAACCGAGAGAAGCGATTTAAGAAGCTTATTTCGGATAATCCAGGACCTGCAAGCTACGATTGGCCTTATCGGACATTATGTATCAGATTCAGACAGGTACTATACGCTAAAGAACATCTGCAGTATGTCACTTCCTAAGTAGCTTCTGATGACAGTTCTTTTAGTAAAATAAAAAAGGAATCCTAAGCAGTGTGTTTGATGTTGGAAACTTTAAAAAGCATTACAACAAAGCTTGGTATATTCTTATTATTCATATTGTAGTTATTTTATAACTAGATGAATATTAAATACTTTTATAAACTTTAGTTTTTAACTATAGAAACATCATACTTCATTTTTAGTTTTGTTTTATGGTCCTGGGTATTGGTCCCAGGGCCTTGTGTGTGTGTGCTTGATAAATGCCTAACCATTGAACATTTATGTGTGTCCCTGTCTTCTTGATTATTCTGTAATGCAGTGTAAGCAATGAGTAGGAAGCAGGAAGATCTGAAAACCTGCTGATCTCTGTACTGACTTCTAGTGATTGTGGGTAAATACCTGTTAACACACAGTGCCATCAGCATGCTTCCTGGGCTGTGGGTGCAAACTGGTGTTGGCGAGCATTTGCTGAGCCTGTGTGAGGTCCTGAGTTCTAGCTCTAGAACCACACAGAACAAAACATGGTGCCTGAAAGAAGAAAGCCAACAGTTTCTGTGGGAGACAGAGGTAGTTGCTGTTTAAAGACAAAATTTGTAAAGTGGTTGATGAATGATCACAAATCCAGATGCTTTAGGGATTTAAAGGACTGCTGCGTTACAGAAGACCTAGAGGGTTAGTGGAGGAGACTGATTTGGAGATGGTTCTTGAAGTCTAGTTAGGGAGTGCAGTTATTTTTACACCAAAGCCCTATAACATTAATTAATATGGATTTGGTTATGTTTTATTTAGAATGTGTGTGTGTGTGTTGTTCTTGTTGTTTTGTTTTTTGAGACAGGGTTCCTCTGTGTGACCCCACTGTGCTGGAACTTGCTCTATAAAGCAGGCTGGCCTTGAACTCACAGAGATCTGCCTGCCCCTGCCTCTGCCTATGTGGGATTAAAGGCATGTGCCATCACTTCCTGGCAAAACACATTTTTAAAAAACTGATTATATTTTATATCAAGTATTTCACATAGCTCAAATTAACCCTATTTTACACAGTTATCTGCAAAAAGTGCATTTTATATTTTAGGATTAAGGTCTTAGTTGAATTTTGTTAGTACAAAGAAAAGGTTGAGTTTTATGTCATGTGTTTAGATATCAGATATATTTCGTGTGTAGGGACAAAATACATGTTCATTTACTCATTGTCAAACATTGTTGAATGACCACGTGTATAAGTTAACACAATGTTAGACATTTTTTATACATAGAAGGCAAATCACCTTTCCTCAAGAGTCAGAATTTTAACAGGGAGCGAAATGTAGGAGAATATAGTTGATGAAATACTATCTTAGAGCCATAATGAAACATTCACCAGGACCCAAAAATGAAAGTCTTTGGAGGGGAGAGGAGAAACGGTAGCCTTGGTCTTAAAGAAGGACTCACATGGTAGTCAAACGCATTGCAGTTGTAGAAACCCCCTGAGTAACTACACTGCAGTGTGCATTGGCATGTCGTGCTCAGGGAGCATCTAAGGGAGAGCCACACGGGTGGAAGCTGGAGGAAGGGAAGGCGTGACTTTGCAAACCTTCCATGTGTCCTTTTTGAAAGTACTGAACAGAAGGAAAGCTATTCACTGTATTGTTTTAATTTTGTAACTATTTTCATAAGTACCACTGAAGCTACTTAATCCATGTATCAGCTGAGAAAGATGCTCCTAGCAATGGCAGCTTTTTAATAGCACAGCTGTGTATGGTCACGCGTGTATTCACCGTTGCATTTATTTGTCTGGAAAATGCTGGGATATAATCCCACACTATTTTTCTACACAGCTAAATCCTTTAAATGTCAATGCTTTGCTTGATATATATTTATTTTGTCTAATACATGCTACTACTTCCTGTTTTTATTTAAATTATAAAGTATTTTTTCTACAGAAGTAAAACCTTTAGGAAAAGGCTCATGAATGCTTCGGACCTGATACTGTTAATTTTGCCACAGTTCTTTCAGAATTAAGGCATACATCTTACTACTGCATTTATATTTAACACGTGCCATGTTTATAAATGGGTTTGATACATCTCCATTCATATCAGCGTTATCTCAGACACTTTCTGCTCTTTAGTCTGTGCAGTTAGCGCTTGTATACAAGGCACAGGTAATATACAGACAAGGTAAGAGTTTCAGGGAATGAAGGCTGGAAATGTTGCTAAGTGGACTAAAGGGAAGAACTAAAGCTTGTTCTGCACAGTACACACTCTCATAGTGTCTGATATTGCTGCAGGAATGCCTTGCTTTATTGATTGATTTACTTATTTATTTTTAAAATCTGTATTCTTTGCTTTACTAAGCAAGATAAATGGCTGAGCAAGTTTAGAGAGAACTCTGAGTTCTTATCGTGGCCTTAATAGTATTTATATCTTAGTCTGCAAGATGTGTTCAGCTTAGTTTTATAAGACCTTTTTTTGGGTTAAATTATGTGTTTATTAAGTCAATATTTAATGATTGCCTTTAGTAAATTAAAACAGTTTGTTCTTCTCTTTCTTCTTGTCTTTGAATAACATAAAATGTCTTCCTCACAAACATTTTATGCTTTAAGAAAACTTCTAGAACACCTGCAGTTTCCAGAAACATTGATATTCCTTCAATTCCCTCTTCTGGAAAGGCGCATGGGTATCATCTCAATGAAGATGACACTATTATGAGACGCACCCCACCTCCTAGTGACAACACAATAGGTCCAGCGTACTACAATCCTCAGTTTGTAAGTATGACACATTTGATGATGGCAGATGGAAGAAGACTGCTTATTGTTGTATATGCGTCATGAATGCATCAGTAACTATAAGTAATGGTTAGAACACTGATTTTCGTTGGCTGCATACTGAAGACTTTTCCCTCATGTATGTATGCCTGCTATCTAGCTGGCAGAAGAGAGCAGAGGAAATGAGTGAAAAACTCTAGGCTCAGAAACTAGAGCTCAGCCACAATGGCCAGTCTTCTTCGCTACCTAGAAGGCTGAGGGATGTAATCTGACTCTGTATCCAAGAGGAAGAAGCGGTGGGAATTACTAGAAGTTTCCACCACAGTGTACAGATGGGACATGCAGACTCTCCCCTGCTTTCTGAGGACCATGGACATTTTATTTATAAAAGAATTTGACTTGAGAATTATCAATTATTCTACAAATTAGTGTGAAAAAATAAAAGGAGCTTCTCTGTTTGAAATAACAAACATAGCCTGTCAGGTTCATTTATGGAGACCTTAACTTTTAAAAGTAAGTTGTCAGAGTTCCATTCATCCAGTTAGAGTATATGATTTATTTATAAAAACATATAATGTATGCAGAAAGTATGGAATTACTCAATTCCAAGGCAGAACTTCATAGTACTCTGTCACTATGGTATTTTTATACTTTTATTAGATCCAGAATTAGAAGAAATCACAGTGAGGAAAATGCTAGAAATGAAGGCTAGATTTAAGGACAGCCTGAAGGGATGACATAGGCAGAGAGTCTTCTCAGGATTGCACTGCCTTTGCTCCCAAGACACTATTCATTTACAGATGCCTTTGTATTTAGGATCAATTACATTAAAAAACCACTTGGTTTGTGGACATCTGCATACTGGTGAGTTTGGGAGGATTAGATACTTTGAATTGTTAACAGTTTTAAAAATACTGTAATTTATAAAACTGCTGTTTTATAGAACTGTTGTCAAACATGGTACAGTAATAAGGATGGGCACTAATGTAGCCGTCATCTCAGTATAACACATGCTACAGGGTTGGCAGGAGGCCTCCAACAGAAAGAGAAATTTAACATGTCTGTTTATCACATACACACATTTGGTGGATGGAGCAAAGCTCCAACAACCTTTATTGCCTTTCTCAGTATTTATACTCTCTCTCAAAAAATTACCTCATATGACTATCAGGTAAAACGGTTACAGCAGGATAATTGTTTACATCATTTTCTAAATATGTTTAAATCCCAATAGATTCATAGTAAGTTTTGGGCAATAATTTATGTCATAAATAGATTTAAGGAATAACAGAAAAGTTGTTTACATGTCTTTCTACTACTGTCCCCCCATAAGTTCATTATTAAGTTTAAAGCAATAATTTTTATGTTATAAGTTAGCACAGTTTTGTCAAGAGACAAATCATCTGCCTTGTGTCTTATTATTTTGAATGTTTGCATAGATAAACTAGTGAATATTTTATTTTTTATTTTATTAATTTTTATTTTATATTTTATTAATTTTATTTAATAATTTTTTTTGCAGCTACAATAAATTGCCTATTCCAAATTTATGACCTTCAGTTACTAGACAATGGTCTCACATCTAACCTAGAAGGAGTGTTCTTCTTGATTGTAAATTTTTTCCAAGCTTGTTTTCTTTTTCTAGTGCAATCAGCCCATGGCACACAAAGGCTTACAGAGCTCTATTTTAGCTATTATTCTACAGTGGGCTTGAAATTACTTGTATAAATTTAGGAATTCTATAAAATCATTATCAGAAATTATGAAACCATCAATTTATCTACATAGCGTTACTACACGAGACTACATCTTCACACTGATCTGAAGAAAATCTGCCCAATAGGGTGGGCTGATGCCCAGGGATCATCAGGCTGTATCACAGTGACAGAAAAGGCACACCAGCAGTGAGAAGCAATCCTGGGATGAAGGCTCTAAGGACCATGCATTCTTAGAGCTCACTCATGCTGGGCCATGAGAAATGTGTGTGTGGGGGGGCATCTTCAGAGATGTCACAAGTATGCCTTTAGCCTTACCCAGATGGCATCTGACAGCAAAGTAATGGTGCTACCTTCTAATTTTATTACCTATAAATTTTAATTTTCAGAGAGGTGCTTTAAAACTAAGTCGTTGCTCTAGTTCTTTTCAGACTCTCACTAGAGAGCTCTTTCTTCAGCTGCTGGTTTTGTCACCTGCTGATGATACTTGAATGTTTTAGTGTTATATTTATCAAATGTTGGTTTTCTGACTTCATCATCTTAATGATGCCTATTGCTGTTTTCTTTTGGCGCTTTAAAAAATATTTCAAAAGAGAATTGTAGCTGCATTCTCATCTCTGTGTTTATGTCATATTCATGCATTTCTGTTTTTCTTAAATATTATATTATTCTCATAAGTATTAATATTTTATAACGTTAAGTAATATAGTATTTTAAAGCTCATCTTATTCCAGATTTTATTTTTTGAAGTCCCTGTAAGCTGTTACTTGTGTCCTTTTGACATGTCATATCATCTTGCTTGCCACTCCCCACCCCAGGGAGGCATTACCCATTTCCTTATAAGACCCCATTTTCTCCAGGCAGAGATTTGATAGTATCATTATTTCTAGGATGTCTCAGAACAGAGTTAGAAATGAATAGTCATGGCTTACTGCCACGAAATTTGAGTTTGACCTTGTGTATATTTACCTAAATATACCTACAAAACCAGCATAGCCTTTCTAGCCTTTCAGTTTTTGAATTTGGACTGCCTCATAACAAAGAAGCTGGCTCTCATTACCCTGATATCTTTACTTATCCTAACCCTGTGATGTAATAAAAGTATTAGTGGATTTAGAATTGATAACTAAGCATTACAAAGAAAATAATCTTGAGATTTTTTTTTTTTAAGACAGGGTTTCTTTGTATAGCCCTGGCTATCTTAGAATTCACTCTATAGACCTACCTGGCTGGCCTTGAACTCAGAGATCCATCTGTGTCTGCCTCCTGAATGCTAGGATTAAATGCATTAGCCACCACTGCTAGGCATAATCTTGAGAATATTTAAGGTTTTGCCTTTAGGTCTTGAAGGGCTATTCTAGCAGGAGGCAAAAGGGACTATAGGCTTCATTCTGGACCTCAGGTCTAATGTCTGCATTGTTACTGGTGAAATACTAATTAATTTCTGAAGACAAGTTTGTTTCCAGGTGAGCTGTGACCCCACAGATGCGGTAACCTGTAGCACCTTTCCACAGTATACTTTTGAATAGCTAGTGGGTCACTGAGAAAATAGGCAGAGAGAACAGTTTCTAGAGTCAAACTAAAGTAAAAACATAACTTACCAGAACACAGCTCACAGCTATGGGGTATACCTAAAGCATATCTAAAAGCAAAGTTTATAGCTTTGACTGTTCACAGTAAAGAATCTGGGGGCTTCTGATGAAATGGATTAGTAGACATAGGTGCTTGACACTAAGTATGTAAATTGAGTTTAATTCATGGATCCCACATGGTGGAAGGAAAGAACCAATTTATGAATATTTTTTGTTTATTTCCACATGTGCCATGACATACACACACAGACACACAGACACAGACAGACATACACAGACACACACAGGTATACATACACATGCTTTTGCATGCACACATATACATAAAAATCAATATTAGAGATGAAAAGAGTGTTATTATAGGTTCTTATGGAGTCAGAGAGTTGTTTGAGAGTGCTTAGAAAACTTATATTAAAAAAGAAAACTTGAGGGGCTTGAGAGATTGTTCAGTGGTTAAGAGCACTGACTGCTCTTCCAGAGGTCATGAGTTCAATTCTCAGCAACCACATGGTGGCTCACAACCATCTGTGATAGGATCTGATGCCCTCTTCTGATGTGTAGATAAAACCAATAATTCTTAAAGAGAGAGAGAGAGAGAGAGAGAGAGAGAGAGAGAGAGAGAGAGAGAGAGAGAACTTGGAAAATACAAAAGAAGTAAATACCTAGATATCTATGAGCTATCAAAATTAAATCAAGAAGATATTGACGACATAGAAGACCTATGACAGTAGATAAGATTTAAAACATCACCATCAATAAGAACAAATATACTTCCCTAGCTTTTCAACAAAGAAAAGTCAGGGTCTAGATCAGTTCCCTACTGAATCTTGCCAACTGCTAATAGAAGATCAGGTGAGAATATTTCTCCAGGTGCTCCATAAAAATAATGGCAAAGGAACATGACTAAATAAAGGCTATCTCTGACAAACCCATATCTAACATCATACTAAATGGTGACAGATTGAGACTCTTTCAACTATGGAATAAGACAAGTATGCCCACTTTCTCCACTTTTATTCAACATAGTGTTCAATGTCTTAGTTAAAACAAGACAAGGAAAGAAATAAAAGGAAATATGGGATCTGTAATGGGATCTGATGCCCTCTTCTGGTGTGTCTGAGGACAGTCACGGTGTACTCATATGCCTAAAATAAATAAATAAGTCTAAAAAAAATTAGAATTTTACAGTTTTATCCCTGTTAAATTTGTGCCTAAAATTTACAGGTTATCCCTTTGCTTATCCGCCAATGGTCTTACAGATCCCGAGAGAAAGAAAGTTTACAAGTTAGCGGTCAATCATTTTATAAATTGAGCAAATTCTTTAATGTGCTCAGAACTATGTTTGTAGTCATGCTGTTGGGCTAGCATTTTTGTATGTTGTGTAAAGGTTGTCTTTGTATTATTCAGTTTTTGACCGCTGTACTGGTAAAGAGCTGAGTACTGCCCTTATTTTGGTATTGCTATTCTTATGGCTCATCACCTGCCTCAGTATTTTATAAAAATACACCTTACTCATTTGCTGCTTGGCTTCATAAAGATCTGATGTCCAGTAGCTAGGCAGAAAAGGGAAGATAAGACTTGTGGGCAGAGAGAGGATCTCTGGGAGGAGTAGAGACAGGTACCCCACTGTTGTCACCAGGCTGTTTTCATCCAAGAGGACACCAGGATGAACTCTTTCTAAATGTGAAATTTT